TATATATATATATATATATATATATATATATATATATATATATATATATATATATATATATATATATATATATATATAGAGAGAGAGAGAGAGAGAGAGAGAGAGAGAGAAAGAGAGTGAGAGACGAAAATAAAAGTTAATTAAATATCAACACAAATTTTTTTCTTTAATTACGTTAAATAAAAGCATTACGTTCCCTAACATTAACTTCATAAAAACACATGTTTACATAGTTTTATATGTTATAAAACTAAAATAAAAAAATTTTATATCGCGATGTCTTTTTCTAATAACCCCCCATTCCCTTGTTCTTTTTTCTTCTTTTTGTCTTTTCTCTTATAAGTATAACTTACTTTATGGATAAGATGAGCTAGCTGGTGATTGGAACAAAAGATCTCTAATTGAAAATCGTTTAAACAGAAATTTTAACAATCCAGAGAAAATATGTGCCTATCACCGCTACACATTAGGAATAGGATAGAAACAATGGAAAAAATGTATGCGTCCTAATCACAACAAATATAAACAAGGAAGAAAGCAGTATTAGGGCAACCCGCACCAATATCTATGACAATTCAAATATCTTCCCATTATAAGTTATACTTTCCAATCGGTTCAATTAAATATAATCGTCATCAAAAAGAATACTGTTCCGAGACAAGGAAAAAAGAAACAAAAATAAAAACTGAACACGAATCTACATCAACAGCTACTGATATTGATTTTGAACCAGATGAGTTTTTACAAAATCAAAAAGAATTTAATACTTAAAATGAAATCAGAGAAAGTATCACAGCTTGTCTTGGGACCAATTAAATTCCAGTTTAAAAGAAAACTTGAGCTTATCAATAAATCCAAAAAGCAATAAATAAAGAAATATAAACATATGGAAAACCCCTTTAGAAAAAAATTTGCAGAATCCATTGCACCTGGTCAATCAGAGAGTTAAAGAGTTTATGAAAGTGCTTGAAGGTGATGATATACCAAAACAGAAATTCCAGATGAAATTGAAAAACTCTTAGAAATAAAATAAGTGATGCAACAAATCAAAATGTAATTTTGGCATTTATTGATCATAATAAAAAAAACAAAGAAATTTTTATGCAACAAATTTAAGTGCACAAAATATAAAATAGGCCTTGCAAAAAAATGGAAAGCTTCACAAAAAGGTTTTGTACTACCCCAAAAGAAAATATTTATAAGAAGCAGACTTTTATTTCCAAAATGTGAACATTTTTCATCTTTTTAAGCGAATTTTTAAAATCTTTTTAAGCGACGTTTTTCGTGGTATTTCCTAAATTAAGTATGAAAGTGATGATGTTGAAACTGTTGTTAGCGCCATTTTAACAGTTGCAAAGAAATTGCTTACGAGCCTCTGTACAACTCCAGTTTATTACGGATACTAAAAGGAATTAAACCTTCTCATGGAAAATTCCTGTCTGCCTTAAATGACACGGCTGCTTCTGGGATAAATGCATTTTTAAAAACTAAATATAAATTTCATTGCAGCTATTTGGAAAATGAAATTGCAACGCATTCAACTCGATTTGCCCTTTCTGACCCTGAAACATTAAATTGCAATCATGTAGCATTTTAAATGATTCTTTATGTTATAAATGCAATGAGCTGTTTGAAGTTTTAGATGAAGTCAATCAAATAGGAAATGAAAATGATGTTGGCAATGATGTTTTATATGACATTAATGAATCAATAGACAACATCACAGAGTATGTAAAACACCTCTTAAGAAATGAACAACAAAAAAGAGCAGAACCTTGAGAGCAGAACCTTTATTGTGTTTACTTGCAGCTTTAAGTATTTATAAAATAAATTTACTTAAAATTTTAGTTTTTATGAGTAGAACTAAGCTAGGAATGTCGCCAAAAATATTTGAATCCTATTTTAGTGAAATCTGCCATAAATATAACAGAAGATTTTCAGTCAACAACCAAGATATAGTTTAAAATTATGTTCATACTCAATTAAGTATCGCATGCCATATTTATGTAGTTTATTTTCAGATATTACAAATAATAAAAAAACCACTCTTGATCGATTTAAAAAAGAATCTAAACGGTTTTTCTTATTTATGGATCTTGCTATGCTAGATTTTAAATGTTTCTTTTAATAAAAGTAAAGCTCAAACAAAAAATCAAGATAAATTAAAAAAAAAATCTTTTAAGAGAATGTTATTATCACAATTCACAATAACAAAGTTTATTGTTAATAAATGATATCACTCTCTCAATATAAATATATGTATATATCTCTTTTTTTCATCTTTATTTTATTTTATTACAAGTATATAATCGTTTTTTTACAATTGCAGCTGCCTTATTTTTCCTATTGCAACTGCAAATAATGTAAGCATTTTAGCAATTACTAATTACTACTTTGTATATTTACCCCAGTATAATATGAATTTATAAATCACGATTTTATAAAAATGGGGCTCGGTGATTAGGCAGAATTATGTCTCTTCTTGCTCCAGCCATTTTGTTGTATACATATATATAAAAATTGTATTTATTGTAGAAGGCGAAATAAACATATTAAAAAAAAAAATACTCGACAAAAGCAGTTAATTAACACATATATGAAATATTCGAAACATACAAAAACTCGAAACAACATACAATACTCGAAAAAAAGCAATAGAAATTAATTAAATGGATTAATATTTACCAAAATACTTACTTAAGTAAGTATTTTGGTTTACTTAGATTAGTATTTTTCGAGTCTTTGTATGTTTCGAATACTGTGTGTAAATTAATTTTTATTGCTTTTGTCGAGTATTGTGTGTAAATTAAACTTAAAAAGTATTTTTTTAAACATCAGCACCATAGTCCTTAACATCTATAAATCAAATTTTATCATTTTACTAACGTAAATTGTTTAATAATTATTAGACAATTACGTTAGTAAAAAGATAAAACTACTTTATCTTTTTACGTAAACTTATTATTCTTATTCAAATAAAATGTCACAAAATTTTTACAAGTAAAGTCATTCAATTTCCACAAGTAAACATTTTATAAATGAGCGCAACAAATTTTAGAGGTCAAAAGAACAGTAATCCTCGATAACATGTTATAAAAATAAAAATATAAATAACATTATCGAATCTATTAAATAAACAACTAAAAAAAACTAAGAAAAAAAATAGCTTGATAACATCAAAGTAATATATTTTTTGCGATCTTTCTTTAAATGTACTTTTTATAAAATTTTGTGCATAGGATACCTTTATTAAATTGCTCACAGGTGGATTGGTTAAATGGGAGGTTTGTTGAAACATTTTGATTGGTTGGAACATATAGGTTTTAAGGCACCACATATTTTCCATTATCATTCATAGAATATGTTTGTTATTTTATAATTATCCATACTGGCAAGCAAAATTAAAGTTTAAATCAAGGTTATTATTTAGCATGTGTTTACAGTCACTTTTTTGCTTTTATAAGGCGTTGACAGGAATCATTTTTTACCACAAGCCGTTGGTTGTGTCATTTTAACATTTATTGAATTTGTTAAAAAAACGGTTTCAAACTCTTGCCAGAAACAAAGTATTAAAAGAAAAGAACAAAGAGAGAGAGACAAAAACTTCAAAATAATGCCATTCTATACAGTAAAAGACGAAGTTATAATTAAAGAAATTATATTAAGGAAAACGGAGACGAAAAAACTTTAAAACAGTAAAAAAACTGCATTAGCCGAAAAATGCAAGAATGAATCATGCTTTCATGCCCACATTTTTTCTTGCTCGCATTTTTGCCTAGCTGGGCAGGATGTATGTTGTGGCTTACGAGGTTGGGGCTCATGTTGTGACTCACGAAGCATATTTAACAACAGACTTACATGCTACAGAAAACGTCTGAAGCTTATATGCTAATGGCTGAGGCGTAATTTTGGCCACAAGTTAAGAAATAAAAAAACGTTTTAACTAACCACGGTCTTCACAAGTATTTTAAAAAATATAATTGAATGTTTGGCACCTGGTTAGTAGGAAATAATGTACAGTGCTTTGGCACCTGGTTAGTAGGAAATAATGTACTGAATGTTTGGCATCTGGTTAGTAGGAAATAATGTACCTGAATGTTTGGCACCTAGTTAGTAGGAACCTGTTAGGATACCTGAATGTTTTGCACCTGGTTAGTATGTTTAGCACCTAGCTAGATGTTAGTTAGGATAACTAAATGTTTGGCACCTGGTTAGTAGGAAACAATGTACAGTGCTTTGCTCCATGGCAACACGCTCTGTACAGTGTCTGTGTCCGATTCGGCTTACAGTATAGTAAACGCTACTGTTAAGTTATTCTACCTGCCACACTCGTACAATGTCATTACGTGTTTGTTGCATTGTAAAATTTAATGAGCATAATATAAATGACACGAGAGTAAAATCTATTAAGAAAAAGTTTATTATTTAAATATACAATATTAATGACTTTCTTTTATTAAATATATGAAATAATTTGTTTTTAGCAAAATAACTCGGTCAAAACAATAAACAGTTTTTTTTTTAATCAGAATAACTTGGACAAAATATCAAACAGTTTGTTTTATACCAAAATAACTAGGTCAAAACAGCTGTTATTTGAATTTAGAAACAACAGCTGATGAAAAAATACGATAACAGTTTGTCAAAGTGTTATCTTCTTCTTGTCGTCGCCGTTTTTATGAGTAAAATTAAATAAGTTACGTATTTAAAATTAAATAAGTTACGTCTTATTATCTCAAAAACATAAAAATTGTTAGGCCAGTCTTCAAACTACAAACCACTTTTTTATTAATTTAATTAAAAAAAAAGACTTCGTTTTATGCTTTTGCTATACAAAATCAATAGCAAAGTCAGTTTATACAACTTGTTACAATTTTTAAACATTATTCTTCATTAAAAAAAAAACACTCACGACATTAAAAACTTCATAAGTTAATATAAACAACTAAATAAGTTATTAAATAACTTAGAATTAAATTGAAAAATTATCCTAAGCGTATAAAAATGAATAAGAAATATTCTAGAATTGTTTTTAAATTTTATGCCGTACAAATGTATGTTCTGTTTTTTATAATATATAAGTTCTCTGGACACACTCGCCATTTTTTTCTACTGCACCATTTAAAAATACTGCATCTGCATATAGTGGATGTAACATTCTGAACGGATTCTTTAAACTTAGCTATTTGAAAATAATAATAAACTGGATATATTACCGAATGGGTATAAGAAAGCCAAACAAGGTACGAATAAACAGCAATGCATTGAGCCGATTGAAGGCCTTCCACAAACAAAACGACATTCATTATTGCGAGTGGTAGCTCTGTGACTATGTAAGTTAGCGAAATTAAAAATAAAGTAAGGGTGGTACGAATTTTAAATGGAATATCTATTGTTTTATTAAAAATTTTGTGTCTAGAAATTTGAGATACAATAATATGTTGCTTCACACGTAAAAACTTGTTTCTTACAGTCCGTAAGATACTTATATACAACAGTAGTAATATAATCGAAGGGAACATTATATGAATAAGCGTAATAAAAAGAACATAACTTGCACTAATTTTTTCATTAAAGTTTGATAAACATTGTATATAGCCTGGTTCAAATATGTATTTGCTCCAACCAAGAAGAGGAAGCAATGATATAAAAAGTGATACAATCCAAGAAAATGAAATCAACGTCAAGGATTTACTTTGTGTCATACCGTCTTTTCCTTTTATAATAATACGGTGCCGGTTAATTGTAATTATTAGCAAAATTTGAACTTTTTCTAAACGAAGAAAAGTGTAAACTGTTGCAGTTATCTCACATAAAACTTCGTCCAAGCACCGCTGTTTAGTATTTAAAAACAAAAGCGAAACAGGAATAACCAGAAGAGACGTAAAAAAATCGCAAAATGCTAAATTAGTCAGCATTAAATTGATTCCAGATCTCATTGCTGCTTGACGAAAAACAATAATGCATAGCAGAAGATTACCAATAAGGGATATAAAAACCAACCAAACAAAAATAATAGACAAAAAAATCGTGATTCCATACGAAGGATATACGTTGGATTCTGATATATTGCAATTATGCATTTTTTGTAAAAAAAAATCACAAAAACAAAGTGTTTGTATTTATTTTTATAAATATACAGAATAAAAAATGACTTCCTAGTGCCACCTGTAAATTTATGCACTGTTTTTTGATTCATTTGCGTCCATCCATAACAAAATTTAACTATTAACAAAGTTATGAAAGCAACATTCTTGATTAATAAAAATGGTTCTGACAAACAAAAAACGTTTATAACTTAAGTCATATATTTTGAAAGCAATTTAATTTTTTTAATCAATTATAATAAAAATAAATAAAATTACTTAAACGTACATATATATTTATTTATACTCCGTATATATATATATATATATATATATATATATATATATATATATATATATATATATATATATATATATATATATATATATATATATATATATATATATGTATATATGCATATATATATATATATATATATATATATACATTTGATTATTTACTAAGTTTTTTTTTAGTTTTTTAAGCGTGTGCTAATTATTGCTTCTAACCTGTTATAAGTTTAAAAAAAGCCAAAAAAATACAAAAGCTTGCTTTAAGCTCAAACCTGTTTTTTATAAAAAATTATATACACCGATATATGTGTAATTTGGGCAAAGGTGTATGTGAAATACTATCAATTATTTACCAAAATTTAAAAATAGATAATGCATATGTTTTGTTTTAGATTAAAAACCAGCAAAAACAGCTATGTTTTTTTCAATAAATTTTGATAACATTACATTTGAAAACTTTAACTTTTTTTTAAGTTTATTTTTTCAGCGAATAATTTTTACGATTTCGTGTAATTAAGTATGATCAGAGATAGCATTTTCTATAATAATTTAACCAAAAAAATGGCCAGTTTTCCCCATTTAAAATCCCCATTGGTCTTTTAAATACAATTATATTACGGTTAGGGTTATTGCTAATGGATAGTATTACAAGGGTGAAGCTTTTTGAGGAAATAAATTTTGGAACGCGAGTTCATTTTGATATGTAGCGATAAGACACATTACAATGTATTTTGATATTTTGTAGGTAGAATATTTACCTTCAAACTAAAAACTTTTGCAGGTTATGAGCTACTATGAAAAAAAAAAATAGTTTTTCAAAAAACTAATTTTTTTTTTTAACTTTTGCCAGCCTTTTTATTTTTTATCTCATTCGGTTATTTGTTCAAAAGTTAAATATAAATTAGATTCAAATTCAAACATTAAAAAATATAGATAAATTGTTAAAATACTAAAATTGTTTTAAAAATCGCGAGAAAAAAAATCTTAGAAGGAACTTAATTTATGGACACCAAAAATAAATATATTAATTAAAAGAAAAAAAAAAAAAAAAAAAAATTATAAAAAAAAATTTAAATAGAAAATTTTTATTGATTTATACATAAATTACAAAGTAAATGTTTACTACACGTCTAGTGTAATGGTAATCAATGACTAGTTTCAGTCGTTTACTACACGTCTAGTATAATGATAGTCGATGACTAGTTTTAGTTGTTTTTGACTTCCCTGTGATTATATATAAGTAATTCCGATTTCACCTTTTTTCTCTCTTTTAAAAAGAACAAAAATTTTTAAAATAATGCGTAAAATTAATACTCTTCAAAACAAGTCACAATGTTTATAAAATATTTTAATGTTTATAAAATATTTTAATTGGAACAATATAGAGTTTTATTTATCCAGGTAATTATATGTTTACATTATTCTATTGTCGTATTTGATATCGTCTTATTATGTTTATTTTATCATATCTCGAAGTTGCATACGACAATTTCCAGGTTTCTTACTTATTTATATTTCGGACTTTATGTTTATAATCCTTTTTTTTTAAATATGTCTTTACCGTTAATCTATAATTTTGAAATGCTCACTTGAAATTACTTAAAAAAAAGACAAATTTAGAAATAAATAAAATAAAAAAAAACAATAACGTATTCTGAAATTTAGGTTGTCTGATAACAATAAAGAATTTAGTAACAGAACAATGCGTTTTAGATTTCGTATAATTATAATTTGATATATTTTTTTGAGCGTATGTGATCGATTTTATTAAAATGTGTTAAAAATTATTAATCAAGTTTTTTTGTAAATATTAAAATTATGTTTAACTAAAAATAAAAATTATATTTATCTAGATGGTTTTTAAATTAAAAACAACTAGACATTACTGTTAACTGTTTTACGGTTAACAATGTCTTGTTATTCTTAGTATCAGCAACATCATCTACAACTAATTTGGTTTCCTAAAATGGAGAAGTTATGAACTAGGATTCAAGTGAAAAAAGTCGCTGAAGAATTAAAAAACTCTATAGCAAAAAGCCTGCTTTCACTTGAGATAAAAATAAATGAATAAATTTATTTGTTTTTATCTCACACAATGTTTATGTTAGCTTATAATTGCTGATATTATCTTGATTACAGCTTGTTTTGATTAACAAATGCTTGAGACCTTACCATAATTAATGTTGATGTACATAACCAGTTTATTTTTATATATCAAGTAAAGGAAAACTAAGTGCTGACGTAATTACTTGAAAATAAAAGCTCGTTGAATGATTGATTGAAGTATGATGTCAAGGTTTAGACATTAAAGCATTCCCTTTGCATTAACAGCTTGCTAGAGCATGTTAAAGCAATTTTGAAGTTAAATAAGTCAACACTAAGTACTAAGTGATATAACAAGCATTGCAAATGTATATATATAGATATTACAAGAGTTTTGTGGCTGAGTTTATTTTTGTTCCAAAACTTGATCAATAGATTTCAAACTTCATTTAATGATATCTTAGTGTTCGAAAGTTATGGCTATGTAAAGTTTATAAACTGATCATTATGTCTGAAAGCTACTTATCTCAAACAACAAAGAAAGATGCCGCGATCCCAACACAGATACAAACTGTTATACTTGAGTATTAATTTGTGTTGCTGTACTTTTATATTATTTTAGAAACTTTAAACGTGATGCATGTTTATAATTTAAACAGAGAGAGAAAAAAAAAATCATTTAAAATGTTATTAAACGTTTAAAAATTAAAAAAACGCCGAAAAAAAAAAAAAAAAACCGCCGAAAAAAAATCGAAATGTTGACTAAAGGAAACGGGATTAATGTTTTTTTTTAAATTTATTTTTATACTAAAATCGTTTTTGCTAATTCTTTATTTTATGAGCTTAATAAAAGCAATCAGTAAAGCGTCAGCTGTCAAAAACAAACACAACAAGTAAACACAATAAAAGTAATAAACTGAAACCACTAATTATAAATATTTAAGAAAAAAATTCTGTTCTTTTTTATACGATCTGTAATTTTGCATTCGATTTAAAACTTAAAAATCAAGAAATTACCATAGTTACTGGTAAACATAAATATGTACTAAAATTAAAAAAAAAATTAAGCAAAATTATTTTGTAATAAAAATAGAAAAAAACGCTACGCAATACCATTTGAAACATCACCATTTGAAACAATTATTGTAAAAAATATTTATAATTCTGTTCACGAAAGACTCCTTATTTTATGAAAATAAGCGAAATATATCGCAGCAAATGTTTATTTTTTAATAAAATTAAGAGCAACAAAGTCGAAGCATTTTTTAAAGTTTGCAGATGTTTAGGTTTAAATAAAAGTAACATTTCCTTATAAACAACGGTTGTCAAGGAGGAGATTTAAAAAAACTATTATAGACATCCGCGCAAAGGTTTAAGTTAAGTAATAAATAATAAATGTGCATAAAAAAGGCAAGAAACTTTATTTACAACTCCTTTTCCCCAAATTTAAAGTTCATTTTAAAAAGATTCATTTCCCCACCTAAAAAAGGTACACACAAGTAAAAAGCAAAGCCCATAACTTATAAAAACAAATTTAGAAAAAATATTTTTGGAAATAAAAAAATATTTGTTTAATAATATTCTATAGCATTTTTTCTAAAAAAGCTTTAACTTCATAATTTAATATCTAGTTGGCGTCTAAAAAAATAAGACAAATGTAAGAGTTATTTCCATTCTCAGATTAAATTATTTATATCATATAAGAAAAAAAAAAAAAAAAAAATTAATGGCATAAGTTATGGCGATATTGTAACAGTGTCTAATTTATGCTGCATAGTTACACTTGTTGCAATCTACAATTAAACATTTAAGTAATTTTTTCACACACACACAGATATATATATATATATATATATATATATATATATATATATATATATATATATATATATATATATATGTGGTAGTATATTTTAAATAAAGCGCTTTTTTTCGCACACTCTAGTATCATAAGCTATATTGTTTGCAATTTGATAATTCGCCTCATTTCTATCTAGCATTCAAGCTGCCTCAACCGATTAATAAAATATTCAAGCTGAAGAGTGAAAAAGTTAAATTTTAAATTATCTAAACAAATTTTTATAGGAAATATTTAAAAATCTCTTTAAAAAGATTTGTTGTATTAATGAAGTAAACATTGAATGAAAGTAAACATCCAGCAGAAATTTTGAATAAAGAAATTCAAAAATTGAAATTCTAACAATGCTATCCTATATTAAAAAATATTATCTATGTTTAACATTTTAGATTACCATAAGCAAATATTAACCGTAAACACATAAAAATTAAATAGTTGTTCTGATTAAATGCGCAACTAAAAACCAGACGTTACAGCCAGTCCGTTAGTGAATCTGAAGCCATTATGATTCGATTGCGATTCACGTTGAGAATTTTTTCAAGATCACATACATTTTTTTGGTTGAGCAAAAGAGGTACATCCTACATGTAAAAATAATTAAAAAAAATAGCTCATGACACTTTTTATAGATAATATTTCATGAGATAATACAAGAAAGATAACAACAAAAAGATGTGAAGATATTACATCATTTTTGCCTAATTCGCTCCGAAACTTGGATAATATTTGAACAAATTCTTTTCTAAGTTTTTCAAGCTCTTTATTACTTTCATCGTTTTTTTTTTGATGTTGTAGTAAATTACTATTTCTGTTAAAATGTAATCCAGCGGTATTTGAATGCTGTAATCCAGTTGTGCTGGCAGAATCATCTGATAAGAGACGAAAATTTAATTTTAAACATTTTTTAAAAAAATATTACCACGGTATTAACTTTATATATATCACCAAAATTAATAATATTTTTAAAGACTCTCATGTCTTTAGATTTTTAAATTAATACAAATCTTTTTAAATAAAATAAAAAGAAATAAAATAGAGATGGGCTACAATTTTTTTAAGCGATAAATAAAACAATTTATTAAGCGATAAGACACAAATGATAAACGATAAAGGACGAACAGATTTCCTAAACAAAAAATTACTTCATATTTTAAAACTTTATGTCATAACCGACATGCTTTTTGTCTTATCTGTGAAAAATTCAAAATAACATAAAGAAAAAAAACCTTAATAATTTTTTCACAACATTAACGAGAAATAAAAAGCAAATCAATTTTATATGGTTAAAAAGATATTTATATGTTGTTATCTATGGCATTGAAAGTGAAACCGCAGAACACAGCCTAAGCTATGATTGCAAACTTTGCAATAAAATAATGCCTGACTAAATAAATCTCAGCAGCAAACAAATTAATGCATAAAATATTTCTAATGTTAATACAAAAAATATTTTTAATATTAATACATAAATACATTTTTAATATTAATGCATAAAATATTTTTGTAATTTAATTTTCATAGAAAACACACACAAAAAAAACAACTTATCTATTAACCTGCCAAAAAAAAAGAGAAAGAAAAAATAACATTACCATAAAGTATGCCCATTGGTACCATACTTTTAACTAGTTGTTGATGCAATGCAACTATTGACTTTATTGCAACATTTTCTGAAAACACTTCTACGCTATTAGAGATTTCAACTTGGAGCATCTTTTTAAATTCCAATCCATCAATTCTTTTTTTACTTAAAGCCATTAAAAAGTAAACAAAACCATTAGCAGAAAACAAATCTGAAGTATACCAACAAATTGCTACTTCGTTGGTACTCGAAAAAATAGTGTCATTGAAACGAGCTTAAGTATAAGGAAAATTTTTTTTTTTCCTTTTAACCCTTCACTAGTGTTTTTTTATGCAAATTTACATGAATTATATATTATTATTAATTAAAAGGACATGTAGTAATTAATAGTTACAATATTAAAACAAAAAAAAATTATTTGCTTATTACAAAAAGATTAAAATTAGAACTTTTTGGACAATGGAATGTAATGAATGATTTTTTCACAAAACCTAAAACTTTTTTGGACAATGGATGATTTTTTCACAAAACCCAAAACTTTGAATTTAAAATTACTTTATCTTAATATATAACATACCATCAAGATCATCTAAAATCACAGAGGAGCCAACACTTCTATGATTAATTAAGTGTTCAAAGTTTGAAATATATTTCAAAGCTGAAAAAATTGACACATTATAATGAGGACTTGCAAAAAAATATGCATGCATCGCCCGGAGTTTATAAACAGGATTAAAATAACCAGTGGAATATGCAAAGCTCCGCTTTCTCTCATAAACAGGTCCTAAACTGGAGTATAAAGTATTCGGATTATTTAATTGAGCAATATAATGTAAAACGTCCTTTATATAAATCATTTTTTCTCCAAGATCTTCCTTAAGGAATTCAGGAAACTCATCATGATTAGTTATAACTGAATCTATATTTCTATACAATTCTGTATTTTGCTCAAACTCAGAAATAGCTGATGCTGTGTGAATACACAACCAACTGAAGTAATAACAAATGTGACCTGGTGGGTTTGTACTTTTGTTGGTTTTTATCTTGTAGAGAAGTGCCAAAGCAATTTCACAACAGCATTGCTGAGACATACTAAAAATAATCTTTTTTTTTGATTCAACAAACTTTACTTTTTTTTTTGGTTAATTTTTTTAAAACAATTTAGGCAGTAAAAATAAGACTTAACAACAATTTTTGCATGAAATACAATAGTAATAAACAATAATAATAACAAAAAATAAAACAACAAATAATAAATAAACAATATAATAGTAATAACAGAAATTTTATACTTAAGATCACCAGTTAGTGTGCAAGTAGTTGTAATAATATCCAAGAATGTGGCAATGCATGACATAATATCTAAGCACCCAAACTCATAAAGAAGTCTCTCAATTTGACCTAAAAAAAATATCTGTATTAACATTGAAACCAATAATGTAAAACCACAGAAATCACCAAGACAACCACTAAACAAACTTTTTCATAAAAAATCTATAATATATATATATATATATATATATATATATATATATATATATATATATATATATATATATATATATATATATATATATTGAAATAAGTTTGACTTGGTTTTACATGTAGACACTACCTGCATAAACCCTCTACAAACATCTGTTTTCTACAAACATCCCCTTGTACTTAAAAAACATTGAGCGCTTATTTTGTTAGATTTAATTGACAAAATAACTCACTTTATTCTGTATTATATTGTTCTAAAATACATTTTACATTCTTTAAGATTCTTACAAAATGTAATCTAGAATCATTTATTTCATAAAAATTTAAACTTTTTTTAATTTTTAAATTAAATATTACATTACAGATCATATATCTCAACAAACACATTAGTTTCATCAATGTTTGTTGTAGTGGTGCAAAACTTTGTACTTGTTGTTTAAAACTGTAATTTGGTTTATTACTAAAAAAACTATTTAACTTTTAAAAAATTTTTCACATATTATGTTAAATGGACCCTGGATCATAAAACTGGACCCAATTATTATAAAAAAAGGTTGATAGAAGGTTTAAAAAACAGTTAACAAATGGCTAAAAAAACAGTTGGCAAATGGTTGAAAAAACAGTTGACAGAAGGCTTAAAAAATGGTTGACAATTGTCAGAAAAACATGAAGACAAGACAAACTTTGAAAGCATTGATGTGCAAGAAAAAAACTAGATAACGAAAAGTTTTCAGAGGATGAAGTAAAAGTTACAGTAAAAAGAAGCAACTTTACAATTAGACAATGGCCGTGCAAAAAAAGAAAAAAGACTGGGCAGTAGTTAAAAGGATCAGAGCCATCTTCAAAGTTTTAAAAATCGGAACCACAGGTGCCATTTTCGAACAGGTATAAAAACAAGATTCAGTGAAGCACTTGTTAAATAGTAAAGAGTGAATATATAATATATATTCACTCTTTACTATTTAAAATATATATATATATATATATATATATATATTATATATATATATATATATATATATGTATATATATAAATATATATATATATATAAAAATATATATATATATATATAAATATATATATATATATATATATATATCATTATATATGATCTATTAATATTAATTTAATTTGTTTCATGATCATTAAATATTAATGATCATGAAACACACACACATATATACATATATATGATACATTCATATATATACATATACATATATATAAATGTATATATGTATATATATATATATATATATATATATATATATATATATATATATATATGTATATGTATATATATATATATATATATATATATACATTTATATATATGTATATATATGTATATATATGTATATATATATATATACATACATATATATATATATATATATATATATATATATATATATATATATATATATATATATATATATATATATATATATATATATATATATATATATATTAGATCATCTTTAGATGATCATGCTCATTAAAATATTAATGATCTCATGATCATGTAATAAAAATATTAAACTTTATTCTTATTTATTAATTAGAAACTTTTAAACTAAACTTATAAAATTTAAATTTTTTGTAAATTATCATTTAGTAGTTTTTTTTTTTTAGATAATTAGTTTGTTCATTTTAATTGTTAAACTTTCATTTTAAAGTGTTTTTGTTTAATTTAATTGTTGTTTTGGATGGGTTTACTAATAGATACCAACAAGCAAAACTGAGTTTTGCTTATTGGTATTTTCTTACACTAATATGTAAGTATTGGCATTAGTGACATTTCTATGCAACTGTATAAATAATTTCAATACTGTGTAAATACTGTCTCCCTTCAAGTTCAAATTTTACTATAATTATTCACATATTTTATCATGAATTGGAAATTGAAACTTTATTAAACAAAAAATAACATATTTACATAGTTATATAATAAATTATAATTATATAAACATTAAAAAAACATTAAAAATTATAATTATAATTATATAAAAATTATAATTATAATTATATAAAAATTATAATTATAATTATATAAAAATGACATTGAAAAAAAAAAGAATCTTTTATAACAAGTATTTAGTATTTATAATCTTGATGCTGATTTTACTAAAAATAAAAAAAAACAAAATTTTTTTGTTTGTTTGGCATTATAAAATAAAAAGAAATTTTTGTTAAGTAATTTCACACCATTAGCATGTACATTATTATGTACATTATCATGTATTTTGGCATAAATAAATATTTAATCAAAGAATATGTTGGTTGAAGCATGTGTTCTAATTTTTCTTTTAAGTGAGTTATTTCCTTATGATATTTTGTTAATAACATCTATATTGAAAAGTACTTCCATCAAAATATGTAAAAAAAAAAAAAAAATCAACTTTGAATCAACATAAAGTTAATTCATTAGCCAATGAATGAAAAATAATAGCCATTTATTAATAACCATTTATAATGGATTAAAATAAAAACCACTTATAATAGGTTGAAATAATAACCATTTAAAATGGGTTAAAATAAAAACCATTTATAATGGGTTAAAATAATAACCATTTGTAATGAATTAAAATAATAACCATTTGTAATGAGTTAAAATAATGACCATTTGAAATGGGTTAAAATAACAACCTTTTATAATGGGTTAAAATAATAACATTTTATAATGGATTAAAATAACAACCTTTTATAATGGGTTAAAATAATAATCTTTTATAATGGGTTAAAATAATAACCTTTTATAATGGGTTAAATTTTATAATGATTAGTAGAAAATTAGATACTGATGTTTCAATAAAAATTCAGGATATTTTATACAAAAATTTAAAAACAAACAAAACACTGTTAAATTTTTTTTCATTAAAGAAAATAACAAACTTTTAGAGAATACTACAAATCGTCTACTTTATCATTGTATTAGTTTATATACCTCTGATGATTCAATAAACAATCCGAACCAAAAATAATTGACATATTAAAAAATATCTATTCATCATAAATAGACTCTGTGATATATGATACATGTTTGATTCTTTGTTTGATAAAATGAAAAAATTGCAGGCATAACCAAGAACACATAGCAAAATAATTATTACATTTAACATATATATTTATTGCACCACTATATATACTTACTCTACCACTATACCGCAACCACATCTACCACTATACTGCTATCAAATCTACCACTATACTGCTACCATATCTAACCTTATATCACCATTACATCTACCACTATGCCACTATCACGTTTACCACTATACCACTATCACATCTACCACTATACCACAACCACATCTACAACTATTCCACAACCACATCTACCACTATTTTACAACCACATCTACCTATTAGTGAATCAAGCTCAAAATATTCTCCACTTTTTCCTCCTTTTTTTCGATCATTAATTTCTATTTTTTTTATTTACTTTTATATGAACATAAATTATAAATAGTGAAATATTATCCAATAAAAAATTACCTTTTAAAAATTTCATCTCTGTAGCCATAGTTACCTCATTTATCATAAACAAACAAAATGTTGACAAACATACAGATATTTCATTTAGTAAATTAGATAGGATTTCTATTTTATGCACCTGATTATTTGAGTTGACAGACTTTGCTTGGAGACTTAAAGAACGAAATTTAACAGCCAAAAAAATAAAGAAAAGTTTAGAATTTGAACACTTTTGATTTAATAAAGGATATTTGAAGTTACTATCAAGTGTTAGTCCATGAAACAACATCTAAATAAAGGATATTTGAAGTTATTATCAAGTTTTAGACCATGAAATAACATAAATTATGAAATTATAGTCCATGAAAGAACATAAATTATCAAATTATATAGTTTGTATCATCTGTTATTATATCATTCTTTAGAAATTTATTAAAAAATGTATAAACTGACACATTCAAGTGTCAAAACTGTATTACAAAAATACTTACTTCATTCAAAATAGAATTTTCTAACACTAGATAAAATTTCATAGAGGTATCCAAACAAATCGAAGCATAAAATTCAGCTTTCATAGTTTGAACTTCAAAAAGTAAATACTTTATTGGTAAAGGTATTTCATGAAGTTTCACTATAAAGTTTTGTATCTCCTTAAAAAATAAATTGTAAAATATAAATTATATCAAACATAACTTAATATTATATATATATATATATATATATATATATATATATATATATATATATATATATATATATATATATATATATATATATATAT